GCCGTTAACCGGACCTAAGCAATCATTTTGTGTAAAAGGACTCGGTTTGATGTGAAATTTATTTCCAATTAATTTTGGGCTCTCATCAAGGGAGAGTGTAAGAATTATAATTTCGCGCCCTTTATATTTCAATTATAGACAGATGTCACTAATGTCACTTTTGTTATACTTTCTTTATGTTGTCAGCACTGTTCAAGTGATTCTCAGTTTGTAAGCTTGACAACTTGTTCTATGTAATTTCCATTACACAGTTTAATAATAAATTCACTTATTGAGTTCATAATATCTTTGATATATTTTATTGATTGACCTGCGGACCCTGTTTCAAGTTTAACACGAACCATGGGAAATTTTTTTTCTTTTTTACGGATTTTGGAGCAGGGTTAAAAACTTGCGAACCATTGGCAATTTTTTAAAATTAATTTTTAATATTTCGCATGATTTTTGTAATGGTCAAAAATCCGTAAATTAAACAAAATAATTTTCCCATGGTTCGCAAGTTTTTAGCCATTGTCCAAAATCCGTAAAAAATAAAAAAAAATTTTCCCATGGTTCGCAAGATTTATGCAATGGTCCAAAATCCGTAAAATTAAAAAATTGTTTCCCATGGTTCGCAAGTTTTTAGCCATGGTCCAAAATCCGTAAAATTAAAAAATATTTTCCCATGGTTGGCATGTTTTTAGCAATGGCCGAAAATTAGCAAAATTAAAAAATTAATTTTCTCATGGTTTCCAAGATTTTAGCAATGGTTAAAAATCCATAAAATTAAAAAAAAATTTCCTATGGGAAATTTTACCATGGGAAACGGACATAAGCAATGGTTTTTGAGATTTTTGCCAAAGTTTAAACCATAGGTCTAATCGTTTTTTCCTTGGCAATCGATTTCGCACATGGTTTTTATGATTTTACCCATAGTTTCATTTCCACGCGGGTTGTCAAGGAAAAACCATGAATTTTTAAGAAAGATACCTAAAAATTACTATGTACCCCCTCCCCTAGCAGCCACATCTTTTGACATAGAGAGCTCAAATTTGGTACACTTATGTATTTTTATGTGAAAATTACAGGAAAAAAATAGCGAACTTGATTCGGATCGATTTACATAGCTTTGTCAAGGAAAAATAAAAAATTTCGAAAAAACGATTTTATCCCCCTAGCGCACACAATATTCAACCCAAACTATTTATATTTGTTGTATAAATGTATTTTTGGGTGAAAATAACAGGGAAAATGATGTGAGCACGATTGGAGTTGATGATTAATTTTTATAAAATTTTTAAAGAAAAATGATAATTTTATGGAAAGAAAATAATGTATTTTTCGACAAAAAACTAAGAAAATTTTATCTAAAGTAATTTAAATTTATATATTTTGACGTATTTTTACGTGTAGATTACAAAAAATAAAGCGAGGACCATTGGAGTTGATTTTTCTGGTTCTGTCAAGAAAAAACTGATTATAGAAAAAATCATGAATTTTCTTCCAATAACGAAGAAAATTTTATCTAAGGTAGTATTACACTTTTCAAGCAGTAAAAAACGGGTTTAGAAAAAAATTTTTTTCTCGCTTCTTAATTTATTTAAAGGAACAAAGTTTTTTTTTATAACATTATATGGCATTAAAACTTTTATAATAAATAAAATAAAATTTTTTTTTATCTCTCTTTGGTCACTAGAGGGCCTTAATCGAGTTTTTCTCGAACCGTTGTTTTTGAAACTGGCGGACAGCATAACTCGAGTTCTAATGAACCAATTTTTTTGAAAAAATATCATTTTTTTCGTAATTAAATTCTTTAAGCATCCCCCCTAAATCCAATTATCTATTTCTTTTTGGATTTTAGCTACAATCCAAAAACTAACCAAAAAAGACATAATTTTTGACATTTTTTTTTAAATCGCTGCCATTTCGTTAATTTTCAACATTTTTTATAGGGTTAGGGGGGATGGTTAATGACATGTCTCAGCTTCAAAACGGTTTTTTGTTTTTTCAGATCCGATGTCCCTGAGAGGCTGTAGCCTGTCCGCCGATTGCCCAAATTTTTTTTTTGCCTTGACTTTAAGGCCCTCTAGTGACCAAAGAGAGATAAGGGTCAATCCATTATATTTCGACTGAAGTCGTCGCTGACTAATTTTTAAAAATTATAATACTTTGCAGGAATGATTTTGAAGTTATCAAGATCACGAAATGAAAAGAATTTTATTAAAATTTTAATTATTTATTGCAAAATATGAATTTAAAGTTTATGAGGTGCTGAAAACTGTCAATTTTTTAGCCATTAGAAAATATGCAAAAAAAACAGAATTTACCATAAAAATAAAAAAAAATTGTTGTAATTTACTAAGAATGAATAAATTTATCATTATCAATTGATATAATTATTTAAATATGTGAAATAATATATAAAATATGATTTTCAAGTTCGCCTGTCAAATAACCTAAATTTGCAAATTTCATCTATTAAATGTGAGAAAGAGAAGTCATTAAATTGAAAAAAACCTTACCAAATATAAAGTACCTGTGACTAACTTTTAGTTTTTCTTTGCACTTTTTTCCTTTTTTCTTCATAAATGTGAAATAAAAAGCAATAAAAATTGGCACTTTGCTTATTTTCACTATTTTCAAATGTAAATAACTTTCTTGGAGAAAACTGAAAAATTACAAAACTTGGGCAATATCTAATTGATCACTAACTACACACACTGGAAAAAAATTCGCTTTGGTCCCGAAGATACTTTTTGAGATAATTATATTTAAATTTTTCACAATTTTTATCAGGTTAATGCATGTGATTTTTATAAAATTGAAGTTAGTTCAAAATGTTTAACCAATAAAACCTAACTTCGTCCTTAAAAAACTACATGTATTAACCTGATAAAAATTGTGAAAAGTTTAAACTTAATTATCTCAAAAAGTATCTTCGGGACCAAAGCGAATTTTTTTCCAGTGTGTGTATTTAGTGATCAATTAGATATTGCCCAAGTTTTGTAATTTTTCAGTTTTCTCCAAGAAAGTTATTTACATTTGAAAATAGTGAAAATAAGCAAAGTGTCAATTTTTATTGCTTTTTATTTCACATTTATGAAGAAAAAAGGAAAAAAGTGCTAAGAAAAACTAAAAGTTAGTCACAGGTACTTTATATTTGGTAAGGTTTTTTTCAATTTAATGACTTCTCTTTCTCACATTTAATAGATGAAATTTGCAAATTTAGGTTATTTGACAGGCGAACTTGAAAATCATATTTTATATATTATTTCACATATTTAAATAATTATATCAATTGATAATGATAAATTTATTCATTCTTAGTAAATTACAACAATTTTTTTTTATTTTTATGGTAAATTCTGTTTTTTTTTTGCATATTTTCTAATGGCTAAAAAATTGACAGTTTTCAGCACCTCATAAACTTTAAATTCATATTTTGCAATAAATAATTAAAATTTTAATAAAATTCTTTTCATTTCGTGATCTTGATAACTTCAAAATCATTCCTGCAAAGTATTATAATTTTTAAAAATTAGTCAGCGACGACTTCATTCGAAATATAATGGATTGACCCATAATAAAAAAATTTTATTTTATTTATTATAAAAGTTTTAATGCCATATAATATTATAAAAAAAATTTGTTCCTTTAAATAAATTAAGAAGCGAGAAAAAATTTTTTTTCTAAACCCGTTTTTTACTGCTTGAAAAGTGTAATACTATCCTAAATGGTTTCAAATTTTTTCATTTTTATGTATTTTTATGTCTAGATTATAGAAATAATTAAATAAACATGATAAGAAGTGGAAAAAGTGGACTTTTTCCTGAAGTTTATTTCTTCAGTCGTTATAACCCTAAAATAAAAAAATTCGACAAGTGCGAGTTACACTCGCACTGAAATCTTGGGTCCGTACTCGAAGCGAACTTAATAATGTATTTTTCGACAAAAAACTAAGAAAATTTTATCTAAAGTAATTTAAATTTATATATTTTGACGTATTTTTACGTGTAGATTACAAAAAATAAAGCGAGGACCATTGGAGTTGATTTTTCTGGTGCTGTCAAGAAAAAACTGATTATTGAAAAAATCATGAATTTTCTTCCAATAACGAAGAAAATTTTATCTAAATGGTTTCAAATTTTTTCATTTTTATGTATTTATATGTCTAGATTATAGAAATCTTCTATTATATTAAGTTAACAAATTTCGAAAAACGACACCGACCCCGTGACCTCGACACCGTCCTTGAAAAATCTATTTTCAATTATTTTCAAATAAATCAAAAAACTTTGCATATATGCTGTTAGAAAATCTTACAAACTATTTTTATGTAACATCTTTTTTCAATTTTAACCCGAAAAAGGGTTATTTTGCAATTTTTTAAGAATTTTTTGATTTTTTCAATTTTTTATTATTATTTTTTATTATTTATTGTAGTTTTTTCAATTTGTAGTTAGTAACCTATAATATTGTGTCTAATTTTAAGTGTCATTAAAATCAAATGTTTTTAACTTAATAATTTTAACATTTCTTAATTTAAAACGAAACATCTTCTATTATATTAAGTTAACAAATTTCGAAAAACGACACCGACCCCGTGACCTCGACACCGTCCTTGAAAAATCTATTTTCAATTATTTTCAAATAAATCAAAATACTTTGCATATATGCTGTTAGAAAATCTTACAAACTATTTTTATGTAACATCTTTTTGCAATTTTAACCCGAAAAAGGGTTATTTTGCAACTTTTTAAGAATTTTTTAATTTTTTCAATTTTTTATTATTATTTTTTATTATTTATTGTTGTTTTTTTCAAATTTTAGTTAGTAACCTATAATATTGTGTCTAATTTTAAGTGTCATTAAAATCAAATGTTTTTATCTTAATAATTTTAACATTTCTTAATTTAATACGAAACATCTTCTATTATATTAAGTTAACAAATTTCGAAAAACGACACCGACCCCGTGACCTCGACACCGTCCTTGAAAAATCTATTTTCAATTATCTTCTATTATATTAAGTTAACAAATTTCGAAAAACGACACCGACCCCGTGACCTCGACACCGTCCTTGAAAAATCTATTTTCAATTATTTTCAAATAAATCAAAATACTTTGCATATATGCTGTAAGAAAATCTTACAAACTATTTTAATGTAACATCTTTTTTCAATTTTAACCCGAAAAAGGGTTATTTTGCAATTTTTTTAGAATTTTTTGATTTTTTCAATTTTTTATTATTATTTTTTATTATTTATTGTTGTTTTTTCAATTTTTAGTTAGTAACCTATAATATTGTGTCTAATTTTAAGTGTCATTAAAATCAAATGTTTTTAACTTAATAATTTTATCATTTCTTAATTTAAAACGAAACATCTTCTATTATATTAAGTTAACAAATTTCGAAAAACGACACCGACCCCGTGACCTCGACACCGTCCTTGAAAAATCTATTTTCAATTATTTTCAAATAAATCAAAATACTTTGCATATATGCTGTTAGAAAATCTTACAAACTATTTTTATGTAACATCTTTTTTCAATTTTAACCCGAAAAAGGGTTATTTTGCAATTTTTTTAGAATTTTTTGATTTTTTCAATTTTTTATTATTATTTTTTATTATTTATTGTTGTTTTTTCAATTTTTAGTTAGTAACCTATAATATTGTGTCTAATTTTAAGTGTCATTAAAATCAAATGTTTTTAACTTAATAATTTTATCATTTCTTAATTTAAAATGAAACATCTTCTATTATATTAAGTTAACAAATTTCGAAAAACGACACCGACCCCGTGACCTCGACGCCGTCCTTGAAAAATCTATTTTCAATTATTTTCAAATAAATCAAAATACTTTGCATATATGCTGTTAGAAAATCTTACAAACTATTTTTATGTAACATCTTTTTGCAATTTTAACCCGAAAAAGGGTTATTTTGCAATTTTTTAATAATTTTTTCATTTTTGCAATTTTTTATTATTATTTTTTATTATTTATTGTTGTTTTTTCAATTTTTAGTTAGTAACCTATAATATTGTGTCTAATTTTAAGTGTCATTAAAATCAAATGTTTTTAACTTAATAATTTTAACATTTCTTAATTTAAAACGAAACATCTTCTATTATATTAAGTTAACAAATTTCGAAAAACGACACCGACCCCGTGACCTCGACACCGTCCTTGAAAAATCTATTTTCAATTATTTTCAAATAAATCAAAATACTTTGCATATATGCTATTAGAAAATCTTACAAACTATTTTTATGTAACATCTTTTTTCAATTTTAACCCGAAAAAGGGTTATTTTCAATTTTTTGTAATTATTTTTTATTATTTATTGTTGTTTTTTCAATTATTAGTTAGTAACCTATAATATTGTGTCTAATTTTAAGTGTCATTAAAATCAAATGTTTTTAACTTAATAATTTTAACATTTCTTAATTTAAAACGAAACATCTTCTATTATATTAAGTTAACAAATTTCGAAAAACGACACCGACCCCGTGACCTCGACACCGTCCTTGAAAAATCTATTTTCAATTATTTTCAAATAAATCAAAATACTTTGCATATATGCTGTTAGAAAATCTTACAATCTATTTTTATGTAACATCTTTTTTCAATTTTAACCCGAAAAAGGGTTATTTTGCAACTTTTTAAGAATTTTTTAATTTTTTCAATTTTTTATTATTATTTTTTATTATTTATTGTTGTTTTTTTCAAATTTTAGTTAGTAACCTATAATATTGTGTCTAATTTTAAGTGTCATTAAAATCAAATGTTTTTATCTTAATAATTTTAACATTTCTTAATTTAATACGAAACATCTTCTATTATATTAAGTTAACAAATTTCGAAAAACGACACCGACCCCGTGACCTCGGCACCGTCCTTGAAAAATCTATTTTCAATTATTTTCAAATAAATCAAAATACTTTGCATATATGCTGTTAGAAAATCTTACAAACTATTTTTATGTAACATCTTTTTTCAATTTTAACCCGAAAAAGGGTTATTTTCAATTTTTAAAGAATTTTTTGATTTTTTCAATTTTTTATTATTATTTTTTATTATTTATTGTTGTTTTTTCAATTTTTAGTTAGTAACCTATAATATTGTGTCTAATTTTAAGTGTCATTAAAATCAAATGTTTTTAACTTAATAATTTTAACATTTCTTAATTTAAAACGAAACATCTTCTATTATATTAAGTTAACAAATTTCGAAAAACGACACCGACCCCGTGACCTCGACACCGTCCTTGAAAAATCTATTTTCAATTATTTTCAAATAAATCAAAATACTTTGCATATATGCTGTTAGAAAATCTTACAAACTATTTTTATGTAACATCTTTTTGCAATTTTAACCCGAAAAAGGGTTATTTTGCAACTTTTTAAGAATTTTTTAATTTTTTCAATTTTTTATTATTATTTTTTATTATTTATTGTTGTTTTTTTCAAATTTTAGTTAGTAACCTATAATATTGTGTCTAATTTTAAGTGTCATTAAAATCAAATGTTTTTATCTTAATAATTTTAACATTTCTTAATTTAATACGAAACATCTTCTATTATATTAAGTTAACAAATTTCGAAAAACGACACCGACCCCGTGACCTCGGCACCGTCCTTGAAAAATCTATTTTCAATTATTTTCAAATAAATCAAAATACTTTGCATATATGCTGTAAGAAAATCTTACAAACTATTTTAATGTAACATCTTTTTTCAATTTTAACCCGAAAAAGGGTTATTTTGCAATTTTAACCCGAAAAAGGGTTATTTTCAATTTTTAAAGAATTTTTTGATTTTTTCAATTTTTTATTATTATTTTTTATTATTTATTGTTGTTTTTTCAATTTTTAGTTAGTAACCTATAATATTGTGTCTAATTTTAAGTGTCATTAAAATCAAATGTTTTTAACTTAATAATTTTAACATTTCTTAATTTAAAACGAAACATCTTCTATTATATTAAGTTAACAAATTTCGAAAAACGACACCGACCCCGTGACCTCGACACCGTCCTTGAAAAATCTATTTTCAATTATCTTCTATTATATTAAGTTAACAAATTTCGAAAAACGACACCGACCCCGTGACCTCGACACCGTCCTTGAAAAATCTATTTTCAATTATTTTCAAATAAATCAAAATACTTTGCATATATGCTGTAAGAAAATCTTACAAACTATTTTAATGTAACATCTTTTTTCAATTTTAACCCGAAAAAGGGTTATTTTGCAATTTTAACCCGAAAAAGGGTTATTTTGCAATTTTTTTAGAATTTTTTGATTTTTTCAATTTTTTATTATTATTTTTTATTATTTATTGTTGTTTTTTCAATTTTTAGTTAGTAACCTATAATATTGTGTCTAATTTTAAGTGTCATTAAAATCAAATGTTTTTAACTTAATAATTTTATCATTTCTTAATTTAAAACGAAACATCTTCTATTATATTAAGTTAACAAATTTCGAAAAACGACACCGACCCCGTGACCTCGACACCGTCCTTGAAAAATCTATTTTCAATTATTTTCAAATAAATCAAAATACTTTGCATATATGCTGTTAGAAAATCTTACAAACTATTTTTATGTAACATCTTTTTTCAATTTTAACCCGAAAAAGGGTTATTTTGCAATTTTTTTAGAATTTTTTGATTTTTTCAATTTTTTATTATTATTTTTTATTATTTATTGTTGTTTTTTCAATTTTTAGTTAGTAACCTATAATATTGTGTCTAATTTTAAGTGTCATTAAAATCAAATGTTTTTAACTTAATAATTTTAACATTTCTTAATTTAAAACGAAACATCTTCTATTATATTAAGTTAACAAATTTCGAAAAACGACACCGACCCCGTGACCTCGACACCGTCCTTGAAAAATCTATTTTCAATTATTTTCAAATAAATCAAAATACTTTGCATATATGCTGTTAGAAAATCTTACAAACTATTTTTATGTAACATCTTTTTGCAATTTTAACCCGAAAAAGGGTTATTTTGCAATTTTTTAATAATTTTTTCATTTTTTTATTATTATTTTTTATTATTTATTGTTGTTTTTTTCAAATTTTAGTTAGTAACCTATAATATTGTGTCTAATTTTAAGTGTCATTAAAATCAAATGTTTTTAACTTAATAATTTTAACATTTCTTAATTTAAAACGAAACATCTTCTATTATATTAAGTTAACAAATTTCGAAAAACGACACCGACCCCGTGACCTCGACACCGTCCTTGAAAAATCTATTTTCAATTATTTTCAAATAAATCAAAATACTTTGCATATATGCTATTAGAAAATCTTACAAACTATTTTTATGTAACATCTTTTTTCAATTTTAACCCG